AGTGTGTTTGAGGGTTGAAAGCAGTGCTTGAAGTCTGGTGACTTGAGAGAATCTTAATCTCTTATAACTAATCTAAATTTGTAAAAACCGAAAAAACTGCGGAGGCTGTAAATCAGAAACAAAAACAAAGTTGCTGGAAAAGCTCAGCAGGTCTCGCAGCATCTGTGAAGAACAAAAAACAGAATTAACGTTTTGGGTCCGGTGACCCTTACTCAGAACTGATGATGGCTGGGAAAATGTCATTTTATATGCAGAAAATAGGGAGGGGGACGGGGTAGGGAGTAAATGATGGGATAGAGCTTAAAGAGAGAGAAGAGCTGACAGACAAAGAGTTGCTAACGATCAGGCTGGGAGGGTGAATAGTTGTTAATGGGGACTGTTAGTGACTAAAAACAGGGGGTGTGTAGTGGCAGGCTATGTGGTAACAAGGCCTGGTGTGTGGGGTGGGGGGCTGGGACATGGGAGAGTTTAGGCCCTAAAATTATTGAACTCAGTATTGAGTCTGGAGGGCTGTAGGGTCCCCAAGCGGAAAATGAGGTGTTGTTCTTCCAGCTTGCGTTGAGCTTCACTGGAATACTGCAGCAAGCCAGAGACAGAGATGTTGGCCAGGGAACAGGATGGTGTGTTAAAGTGGCAGGCAACAGGTAGTTCAGGGTTTTTTTTGGGAGCAGAACATAGATGTTCTACGAAGCAGTCACCCAGTCTATGCTTTGTTTCCCCAGTGTAGAGGAGACCACATTGTGAGCAGCGAATGCAGTAGACCAGATTCTGGGAAGTGCAGGTGAAGTGTTGCTTCACCTGGAAGTTATTTGTTTGGGCCCTTGGCTACTGGGGAGGGAGGAGGTAAATGGGCAGGTGTTGCACCTTCGCCGGTTACAGGGGAAGATGCCATGGGGCTGTGGGGGTCAGTTGGAGGTGAAGGTAGTGTGGGCCAGGATGTCCCGGAGGGAACAGTCCCTGCAGAAGGTAGACAAGGGAGGGGAGGGGAATATGTGTCTGGTGGTAGCATCTCGCTGGAGGTGGCGGAAATAGCATCTGATGATCTGATAATCTAAATTTGTATTTAATAACAGTTTTGAATTAACTGATTAGATTGACAGACTGACCTAGGTATATATGAACCCTCCAATCTTAGACAGGTGTAGCTATTTAATGAAGAAAGCTATTGTGAATTGGTTCTTCTCTAACTGGGTTTCAGTTAACTCTGTGGTTTTACAATCGATAAGTTTAGCTTCTCAGAGTGAACTCAGCACAGAGTATGGCTTAAACAGGATGTCTGGGGTTTGAGTTCAGAGAGAGATGAAAAATAAGAAGGTTGTGCTCTCTCGCTTTTTGGTAGGAAGCTGGAATAATGGTTGCCCTGCACGGTAGGGGGCCCCCTCTCGTGGTGGACATCGGAAGATGGTCCCACTGCAAGATAGGAGTCTGCAGGCAGGTCAGATACAGGTAACTACTGGGCAGTTCAAGAGAACCGGGCAGGTAGTGCAGGAATTTCCTGAGATGGTTTTGCTTATCAATTGGCTTTCCATTCAAGATTCTGATGAGAGCAATGCTTCCTCAGAAGAGCGTAGCAAGACCTAAGTTCATGGACAATGCAACTGGCTCAACTGTGCAGGAGGGAAGGAAAATGAGTGGGAAAACAGTGATGATAGTGGGAAAGATGCAATAATAGGGAATCATTAGTCAAAGCAGCAGGCAGACACAGATATGACTCCAGAATGGCCTACTGCCTCTCTGGTGCCAGGGTATAGGATGTGACAAAGCACAAAACCACTTATCTTTCCTTCAGCAGGTACCACAGATTGTCAGTTTGAATTGGATAAGCCTTTCATAAGTGAAACAGCCATGCTGTGCCTTTCGAAAATCAGTGGAAGCACTCAGAAAAAGGAAGATCAAGGAGAAACCTTTAGATCAGTAAGAACCAACCCACTCTCCCTCCACCCGTTCTCTTTTCCCTGATATGTTTGTCTGTGTGCATGTGTAAGAGGGAGTTTAAAAGGGATTTCAGGTTTTAATTTGTACAGCTCATCTAATTTAATTTAACGCGATTACTGCTTTAGTAGTGAGCATGGATAACTAAGGAAACTCATCCATGCACTCTATCATTTTGGGTTTGAAAATCAGGTCGTATTTCTTTAAAAAATGTAACTGTTTATGACCTGCAGTACGGTGAGCAGTTTTTGTCTCCTTACCTGAGGGAGGATGTTCTGGCGATGGAAGCTATGTAACAAAGATTCACCAAACTGATAAAAACCGAAAGAACTACGGATGCTGTGAATCAGGAACAAAAACAGAAGTTGCTGGAAAAGCTCAGCAGATCTGGCAGCATCTGTGAAGAAAAAATCAGAGTTAACGTTTCGGGTCTGGTGAGCCTTCCTCAGAACATTTTGGAGGAAAGGTCACCAGACCTGAAACGTTAACTCTGATTTCTCCTTCACAGATGCTGCCAGATCTGCTGAGCTTTTCCAGCAACTTCTGTTTTTGTTCACCAGACTGATTCCTGGGATGGCAGGACTGATGTGTGAAGACAGACTGGATTGGTTAGGATTATATTCACTGGAATTTAGAAGAACGAGGGGGGATTTCAAAGAAACCTATAACATTCTACCAGGATTAGACAGGGTAAAAACAGGAAGAATTTTCCTGATGACAGGGGAGTCCAAAACCAGGGGTCACAATTTAAGGAAAAGTTGTAGAGCATTTAGGACTGAGATCAGAGAGTGGTGAGCCTGTGGGATTCTCTGCCACAGGAAGCAGCTGAAGCCAAAACACTGAATGTTTTTGAGGAAGCATTAGATATAGTTCTTAGGGATATTGGGATAATAGGGTATGGGGTGAAAGCAGGAACAGGAAACTGAGTGGGATGATCAGCCATCATTGATCAGCCATATCGAATGGTGGAGCAGTCTTGATGGGCTGAATGGCCCGCTGCTGCTCCTATTTTCTATGTTGCTATATGTGACAACTCCAGGAACACAGGGCTTGATTTCCAGCATGCCACTCCAGTGAACTGCGGCAATACAAAATGTGGAAGCATTGTTAACTGGGAGGATAACAGTGCAGAACTTCAGAAGGACATTGACAAGTTGGTGGAGTGAGCAGGCCTGTACATGGTAGATGTAGAGGTGTCTGAAGAAGGGTCCAGACACGAAACATCAGCTTTCCTGCTCCTCTGATGCTGCCTGGCCTGCTGTGTTCACCCAGATCTCCACCTTGTTATCTCAGACTCCAGCATTGGCAGTTCCTACTATCTCTGAATCAATTATTTAAAAGCTGTTTTGGTAGAGAGAACAATGGAGAAACATGTAAAATAAAGGATACAATTCTAAAGGGTGTGCAGGAGAATTTGCACATAAATCACAAAAGGTGATAGGGCAGGTTGAGAATGTGGTGAATAAAACATTCAATGTCCTGGGCATTATTAACAGGGACATGGAGTGCAAGAGCAAGGAGGTTATGCTGAACATTTATAAGAAATGAGTTAGACCTTAGCTAAGTATTGTGTAAAATGAATATAACAGTTGAAATATTTGCCAATCACCTCAATGTAATAAAATTACAAGTTGCCAAAGTAACTCAGTAGGCTGGTTGCACCTGTGGAGGGAAAAGCAGTGAACATTTTGAGTCTTATATGACTCTTTTTCAGAACTTCAGAATCTTTGGATTCAACATTAACTCTGTTTCCCTCAAATGCTGTCTGACTTGGTGAGTTTTATCGATGCTTTCTGCTTTTTATTTCAGGTTCGCAGTGTTTTATGTCTTCCTCATTCCAATAATTAATCAGAAAGTCAATGTCAATGAAGCCACCCCTGTCTTCTTTGAACACTGACTCTGAAGTTCTGTTTGGGATAGGGGGAGATGGTAATCTGCCTCCTGCTATCTCTCCAATGGTGTGGTCAGTGAGGTGGTGTAAATTTCCCAAGAATGCTTATTTACAGGAGTTACAGAAATTGAGTGGGAGACAACGCCGGTCCCCTTCTATGGGAGACACCCTTCAAACAGCCACCCTCCTTCAACAGTCAGGTGGGATTCTAGGTTCTTTCAATTACTCAACCTTTAAAATGAATTTCAGAAATTGATAAATGTCTTCATAGGCCATTAACTCATCTTCCATCTTCATAGCCATACTCTGTACATTTTTTGCAGCTTCAGTCTTGCTTCCTTTTGTGAGATCTATGGAACTTTTTGTTATAGTGTAGATATTTGTTACTATTAAGAGTGCTGTAAGAAGTCCTGATATAACTCTGACAATAGTGGACAATAGGGGAAGTGATCCAGAAAGCAGCTCTTGAATGGTTTCAGTTTTCTGGCTTGCTGATGTTACCTGTCTGGCTGCGTTAGACAATGAAAGGATTGTTGGCTCCTCAAGAACCGAATGTTCTCCATCTCTCTCGCTGCACTTTACTGCACTGCAGGTTATGTTTAGAAACTCTGACATTTCTTCACTAGACTTGTGTTTTATGATTTCTGCCTGTAGGTTACGGCTCCAGGATTTAATAGCACCGCAAATCTTGTGTAAATACCTTGATACTAGCTTACAACATTCATTGTATTGATTTACAATTTCGTCGACTCTTTTCTGTTTGACAGATTGTCCAACAGACTCGGTGACACCAGCTGTAAAATTGGTAGCGGCACCAGTTGCACTCATTCCCGCTCCCATGGCACTGAGACCCAGCGATGTACCTGATGTTAAAGGGCTTGCAATCAGTCCTGTAATGGACAGAACCCCACCAACAATTGCTGCTGAAGTTCCTGTGACAGCTGCAATGGTGGCACCTCTGTGGTACTCATCAATGCTTTCCGCAATTTCTTTCAGTTCCTTTATGTGTTCTTGTGTCTGATCTCTCCAATCTGGGAACTGTTTGACAAACAGCTGGCAGTCCTCATTGTGTTTTTCCAGTTCAGTTTTCAGCTGTATCCTGTTAAGAATGGAAGGATTACTTCAGATTATGTCCCAAGTCATATAATTAAACATAGAAACATAGAAAATCGGTGCAGGAGTAGGCCATTTGGCCCTTTGAGCCGCACCACCATTCAATATGATCATGGCTGATCATGCAATCTCAGTATCCCATTCCCACCCTCTCCCCACACCCCCTGATCCCTTTAGCTTCAAGGGCCATGTCCAGTTCCCTCTTGAATATATCTAATGAACTGGCCACAACAGCTTCCTGTGGGAGGGAATTCCACAGGTTCACAACTCTCTGAGTGAAGAAATTCTTCCTGATCTCTGTC